TCCTGGAGCCTGGAGGACCTCCTGGCTGAGCTGGGCTCTGCGAGGAACACCTGACCTCCAAGGGCCTTTCCTCCCTAGCTCCATCTGGATGGCTGGAATCATGCCTATGACTTCTGGATTGACGCTGACCACCCCGACATCCACCCTGCGGGCTGGTGCTCCAAGACAGGGCATCCCCTGCAGCCTCCTCTCCGTGTGTACCCCCAGGGCACTCTGACCCATTCCTCCTGCTGTCCGACCCTACCCCCTGAGCTCTGGCACCCCCCATAACATGCCCACAGTGAGCTCTGGGGTCCCCCATCCTCTCCACCCCAGGGATCTCTGCTACACTTAGCAGTGCTTCTGGTCTTCACAGTTGCTGGGTTTGGGGTCTGGTGGTGTAAAGGGCCAAGCTCACTTGGGAGCATAAGCTCAGGAGGTGCTGTACGCCTGGGGAGTTCTCTCAGCATCTAGCAGAGCGACTCAGAGGCTGCGCTGTGTTTGCTGAATCAGTGTGGCTCCCTAAATCAAATCCTGGTCCCCTCTGCAGGCTGGGGTTAGAGGTCACCCACATCTGTTTCACAGGGGGTGTTGATCCTTCTTGTTGTTTTCCAAGTATGAGCAGAGTTTTGAGAAAGCCACCAAAGCCTTGGGGAAGAAACAGGGTAACAGTCAGAATAACATGAATCTGCCTGATGTGATTTCTGATATTGCAGGTTTCCACAAAGTATATGAGAACCAAGCCCTCATTCCCCTCATTCCCCAAAGAGGGGCTGCTATCCACTGACAGGAAATGGTGTCCCCGCCTAGCTCAGGGCCCCTGTGCCTGGGGAACTAGTTCCTAGTGCTGACCTTCCCTGTGGAAACTTCCTTCCCTGCCCTCCACCGCCCCTCCCCCATCCCCACCCCCAGGGTCCAGGGCTGACCTCCTTTTCCTCCCCCTCCAGGACCCAGGGAACCCAGCTCTGCCTCCCCTGGGGGCTGTCCCCTTCTCAGCTATCGGAGCCTGCCGCACACTAGGACTTCCAAGTACAGCTTTCACCACCGGTGAGTGAGGGGCTCCTGCTAAGAGACCCCCAGGCACTGCTCAGAGAGGGCCTATTTTACACCCACCATGTGTGGCCGACCAGGGCTCACAAGATTGATCTCCGACGCGGCCAGGAGTGGGAAGAGCTATGCAGGAACAATTAGATTTAGCCCATCTTAAGCCTTCTTCTTCTCCAGGAAGTGCCCCACTCCTGGTTGTGACGGCTCTGGCCACGTCACAGGCAAGTTCACAGCTCACCATTGCCTCTCAGGCTGCCCCCTGGCCGAGAGGAACCAGAGCCGGCTGAAGGCAGAGCTTTCGGACACGGAGGCCTCGGCCCGTAAGAGGAACCTCTCCAGCTTCTCCCTAAGGAAGAAGCCGCGCCATCACGGCCAGTGCGGAGGGCAGGGGTGCAGGGCCTCGTGTCCTCTTGGGCCGGGCCAGGCACAGACTGCCTGCGACGGATCTGGTCCCTCTCTCTCCAGGATTGGACGCCCTTCAAAGTATCAGGAGATCCCGAAGGAAGATTTCCCAAGTGAGTCCTGGGTCCTCTACTCCCCTGTCCCCACCCCACCCCCACCCCCACCCCTGTTCACAATGAGTGCTTAGTAATTGGTGGGAGGAGTCACCAGGGGTGTTTCAAGAGGGGAAGCTAGAAGGGAGCCTCCTCTTCATTCAAGATGCTTGGGGATACAGAGCAGTGGCGAGAGCACAGGGTGGGGCCTTGAGGGGCCTCAGATTCTGGCCCCTTTTCACCTGTGGCCTTGCTGTGAGTCTGCAGGAAAGGCACAGAGCCTCTCTGGGCTTCTGATTCTGCACTGTGAGGCAGGAGGATGCCCCCCCCACCACCCGGCTCTGCTTTTCTCAATTCTGGGCTTCTTGGGAGGGAGGCCATGGCTGTCACATTCTAGCTGTATTACCTAGAACAAGCCACTTAACATCGCCGAGCCTCAGTTTCCTTATTTGAAAACATGAATAATACCTGCTTTTCAGATGTCAACTACCTGGGAGAATGGTGGCTATGACTACTGTTTACAGAGCACCTACTGTGGGCCTGTTTCAGGTGCTTGACCTCTACCACCCCTGACTCTCACAAGCCGTCTAGATGTTTTTGCCCCAAGAGGAGAGGAGTGGGAGGTTGGGAGAGTGAAGTCATTTTGCCCAAGGTCATTTGCCTTGTAAGGGGCTGAGCTGGGCTTCAAACTCCCGTCTGACTTCACCTGTCACTTGCTGCTGGTATAGCAGACAGAAAGCACCTGACCCGAATGTCGGTTTACTTTTCCACCCACTTTGTCTTAGTCAGCTTGGCTGCCATGACCAGGTACCAAAGACTGAGTGGCTTCAACAACAGAAATGTATTTTCTCACACTGCTGGAGGCTAGAAGTTCAAGATCAAAGTATCGACAGGTTTGCTTTTTCTGAGGCCTCTCTCCTCAGCTTAGACAGCCACTTTCTGGCTTGTGTCTATGTGATCTTTGCTCTATGCCTGTGTGCCCCGGGGTGTTTCCAAAATTCCTTTTCTTGTAAGGATACCAGTCAGATTGGATTAAGGTCCACCCTAATTGCCTCATTTTAACATAATCACCTCTTTAAAGGCCCTATCTCCAACTACAGTCACATTTTTGAGATACTGGAGGATAGGGCTTTGACATATTAATTTGGGGCGGGGCGGGGGGTGGGACACAACTCAGCCCATAACATGCTCCAAGGGAAGGGACAAAGTGTCCTCACTGCATTACGAATTCATCTCACATCTTCAGCCTGATACACTGCAGGGACACTGGGCATCTTGCCTCAGTCGAGTTGAATGCACATCATTTTAAGGCAAGAAGAGACCTTGAGAAATCACCTGTTCATTGCCTAATTTCTGAGCAGGACCCAGGCTATTCCAGTTCCTCAGAAACAGGCTCTGTAACCTGGGCTCTGTATACAGCACAGTGATTAAAAATACAGCCCTCAAGTCAGACTGCCTTTTATGTGCGGTGAGACCTCAGACAGGTGACGCCACCTGTCTGAGCCTCAGCTTCCTCATCTGTAAAATGCTCATAATAACAGTGCCAATCCTAAAAGGTGGTGGGAGGCTTCAATGAGATGGTTCACATGAAGTGTTTAATAACCTGCTGGAATTATTATTTAGTCCTAATAATTGGCCCTGACTCCCTCTTGCTGCTGTTCCATACTGTTTCCTCTTAAGGGAAACAGAAGGCAGTTCCTACAGCCTTGGGCCTGAGTGAGGAGGGTCTTAGCCTGTTTCTGGCCCTCAGAGTGAGGACTTTGGGGATGGGACCTAAGTGGGCACCTCTTCTCTCCGCGCCTGGTGTACCTGGTGGGCTTCCATTGCAGGGCCATGTTCTGACCGCCAGAGGGCTCTTGCCTGCTGTGTGCATTTCCAGAATGATCCTGAGGACACGGGAGTTCTTTCCAGAGACAGACTGTGGCCCAGAGAGGACCAGGAAGGACTCACTTAAAGCCTGAGGCAATTCAGGGACAGAGCACGGGACGAAGCCCAGGTCTCTGAGCTCTGTTCAGGGCTCCCATTTTACCAACTGGCTCTTGCATAGAGGGGACACTGGTTACTCTGGGTTTTGTTCCAGAGGAGGCTTCTCATACATCCGTGGTTAGACCCCTCAGTGTGGGTTTACTGGTGAACAGCTCCCAGGGGAGGGCTGCCTGGAGAGGACAGTACTCGGCTGTGTTCACCCTGCTCACAGGGCCATTTGAACCCCATGAGTATCAGCTGTTTGAAAGAACAAGAGGAAACTGCAGAGATTTCCTTACCCAACTAGTTCATTTACAGATGGGGAAACTGAGGCCCATGTTAAGTGATGTGCCCAAGATCAAAAAGCAAGTTGGTAAGGAGCTAACCCCATTTCCTGATTCTGAGCCCAGTTTGTGTTTTCTGTTATACTGCATCCTCCCCTCCCACCCTCCATGCTTCCCCTTGTCTTTCCACAGCACCTAGTCAGCACATGGTTATTAAGTTCCAATAATAGTGCTATAGACAAAGAATGTTTGTGTCCCTGCCCAAATTCATACGTTGAAATCTAATCCCCAATGTCATGGTATTAGGAGGAGGGGCCTTTGGGGTGATTAGATCATGAGGATGGAGCCCTCACCAATGAGATTAGTACCCTTATCAGAGACACCCCCCCCACCGAGAGCTCCCTTGCCACTTCTGCCAAGGAGGACACAGTGGAAGATGGCAGCCTGTGAGTCAGGAAGTGGGTCTTCACCAGATACCAAATCTGCTGGTACCTTGGTTTTGGCTTCCAACCTCCAGAACTGTGAGGAATAAATTTCTGTTGTTTGAAAGCGCCCCACACCCTGGAAAAAAAAGAGAGAGAGAACAAGAGGAGCTGTTTCTGACCCATAGCTGGATGTTCTGCAGTTAGATAAGACACCAGGGCAGCCTGTGCAAGCTCCTGTCCTGTGCTCCGGGGAAGACAAGGGGCTCAGCTCCCAGACTCCTCACTATGGTGCACGGAGTACCAGACACAGGGCTGCAAAAGGGGCACCTGGGTGGGCAGGAGGCCAAACCCATGGCCACGTAGAGGAAGTGCTAGTGGTGGAACTGTCACAGGAGTTCCAGGCTGTCCTGGGACAGCTGGCTGGGCTGTGCCATGGTCGCAGGCTCCCTGGTTGTCCTGAGGGTGGGGCTCTTCTGGGTGTGGACAGGAGCTTGGCTTTGAGCTGATGAGCAGAGGGGCAGCAGGCAGGCAGTTACAGAACAGTCAGTGGGGCTGGAAACGAGATCTTAGAGGCTCTGAGGCTGATTGTGAGGTGCAGGGGAGTCAAGGCAAAAGACTAAAGCAAGGGGGAGAGACGGAAGGACAGTGTAATGTGCAGGGTGGGCCTGCGGGAAGAGGGTGGTGAAGGGTCAAGTTCATGAGAGTCTAGAATTAGCACCAAGTGAACAGGAAAGAGCCAGCTCTCTTGGCCTCTGGGCAGAAGCAGGGCAAGCCCTATGGGAAAGTGGCCACATGGTCCAAGGCCAGTCAAGGCAGGTAAGGTGGGCAGGGGCTACATTTGTCAGAGTCACCAAACGTAGATGAAGTCCAAGCAGACAGGCCCCAGGCCTGGCCAAGGAGGAAGCCAGGTCTCAGGGTCCCTCATCAAATCATGGAGCTGCTTTGAGGCTGGAGGTCAGGGGTCAGGGATTCAAGGACCAGATCAGGAAGCAGAGTGACAAATAATGTGAAGCTGACAAGTGGGTCAGGGATCACCCTACAGGTGCTAGAGTACCCGGGGGCTGGCACGCAGGCAAGGAACCAGACTGGGCTGCGATGCGGAGGTGGGGAAGGAAGGGAACTTGAGGCAAGTGTCATTGTCTTAGGGGTGCGCCTCAGACTGGACAGGCTGATTCTGATTCTCAAACAGAATCCCCCTGACGCTGCAGGAATTGTCTGGGGCCCAAAAGGACTTAGGAAAAGGAGGGCAAACAGAATGGACTTTTGATGTCAGAGCTGAGGTTGCTTGGAGGTTGGAGGCCGTTGTGATGCAGGGTATCTAGAGAGCAGTGTTTCCCTGATGCTGCAGCCGCTCCAGGGGAGAAGAGCATCCTTGTAGCACCTAGGGTGATGCAGCCTCAAAGGGATGTGGGTAGGGTCATTCTACTCAGTCTATAATGTGAGGAACCCACTTTGCCGCAAGGGAGTCAGGAGATCTGCATTGGCCTCTTGGCTCTGCAGGGCTGTCAGAAGGAGCTGTGATCCTGTCCACTCTGCCAGCCAGGCCCCCAGGTGGCCTGGGTATGAGTGGGCTTTGGGGACCAAGTTAGTCCTCGGCCTCGGCCTGCCAGCCTCTGTCTCTGCCTTCCAGCACTGACCGCCGACGTCATGCACCAGTCCCTGTTCATGTCGGCCCTGTCGGCCCACCCTGACCGATCACTGTCAGTATGCTGGGAGCAGCACTGCAAGCTGCTGCCGGGAGTGGCGGGCATCTCAGCCTCAACAGTCGCCAAGTGGACCATCGATGAGGTGAGGGGTGAGGGCCCCTCCCTCTCCTTCCGCCTCTGCTTTGCCCCACCACACCCTGGCGGGAGGGCTGAAGAAAGGCCCCTGTCAGACAGAGCATACACTGCTCCTGACACAACCTCCAACCTCCTGCTCATCCCTCCGGTCCACAGTCCCTCCCTGCTGCCCTGCGGGGTTTGATAGGCCCATCCTGGTGGATGGGGCAGGGGGCATACTGCTGGTCCAGCTGGAAGTCCAGCAGGAGAGACAGGTTCAGCCCTGGGCCTCGGGAGCAAAGGGCCTCGCCTCACGTACCCAGCAGCACAGAGTCGCAGGATCCTGTCAGGCTGATAAGAAAAAGCAGAAGTGTCACAGCCCAGAAGGCACCAAGGCCTCTTGGGCCCTCCTCTTCCCTACACTCCCGAGCCCTGTCCCCTTGGCAACATGTCTTCTTTGGTTTCCAAGGTCTTCAGCTTCGTTCAGACCCTGACAGGTTGTGAGGACCAAGCACGGCTCTTCAAAGATGAGGTAAGGTACAGAGTGGGGACAGAGGAGGGTCACTGTCATTGAGGCGGCAGAACGCAGGTGCCCTCCCTAGCACCACCCCCAGCTGGGGAGGGCCCTCTGTGGTCCCACCTGATGGGGACCAGTCATAGTGACCCATGTCTTTGAGAAAAATCCAGTACTGACCACGGCCCAGCTTGCGAACGGAACCCTCTGTGTTCAGACCATCCTCAGGAAGGGAATACCGTCCTGAAACAGGATTCCATTCACTCCTCTGCTCAGACTTCTGTTTTCCAAATTTAGCTTCCCCAGTGACAGCCAGTTAAGGTGTATTTTGAACGGCACAGGTGTTGCCATTTACTGCAAGATCCGAACACACTTAAAATCCAGACCCAAAAGCTTACCGAAGATGAGAAGCAGTGAGTTTTAGGGGCAAGAACACTAGCTTTGTAGACATTTGGGTTTGAATCTTAGTTCTGCTGATTAGAACTTAAATTTTGGGTCTATGTCTTCTCATCTGTAAAATGGAGATAAAGTGGGTGTAATGATGACTACCTTGCAGGGCCGTGTGAGCACTGGAAATGATGAGTGGATCGTGTACCAGAATGTCTAGTGTAACCGTATTACCAGCGTATCTATTACTATAAGCAATACGGTACAGTAATACGTAAATCCCATCACTGTACCCACATACAGCGAGGGCTCCGCCAGTGGTAGTTCTGACTTCCAGTGCGTAGTTGTCCTTAAATAAAGAACTTTACCTTGACTCTCCTAACCTGTAGTGTTTGAAACTGGAAGGGACCTTTGATTGTTTAGATCTTCCTTCCAAAGAGTACGTGCACCTGCTTCACGCAGGGGAGTGTGGCCTCAGCCTCCCACAGACGCCGCCTGCAGGCCAGGTGCCCAAGAGAAAGACGTCTGCTCCCCCTTCCCTGGAAGAGTCTCTTTATCCAGGCCCAGTGCAGCCAATGTCTTCGTCAGATCCTTGTGTGCTGGAGCTCCCAAAGGCCTCCCCAAACTGGGTGCTTGCCTTCTGGGTTGGTGATCTTATTGGAAAGGGTGTGTCCAGAGCTGCGCCCCATGTTTCAGATGCCCTCTGACCCACACAGAGCACCCTGGGCTGCTGCTCCCCTAGGTGTTTCTTGCTTTTGTTTTTAAAAAGACTTATTTTTTGAAGAGCAGTTTTAGGTTCACAACAAAACTAAGAGAGCAAGGTACAGAGAGTTCCCATGTATACCCCCAGCCCCACTACGCACGCACAGCCTCTCCTGCTATCAGCATCCCCCACCAGAGGGGCACCTTTGTTACAACCGACGAACCGACGCCTAGATGTTTTTCAATGGAGGTAAAATATTCATGGAATGAAATGCACGCATCTTAAAAGTACAATTGTGCAAGTTTTGAGAAATGTGTACTCCCTGAACCCAATATGTCAATCAAGATATAAAACATTTCCATCATACCAGAGAGTTCTTTCTTGGCCCTTTTTGTCAGTCTCCGCTCTCACAGGCAACCATATAAATTAGTTTTACCTGTTCTTGAACTTCATCTACATGGAGTCATACAGCACATACTCTTTTGTGTCTGTCTTTTTTCAGTGTAATGTTTTTGAGGTTCATCCATGTTACTTTGTACACCAGCAGTTAGTTTCTTTTTACTTCTGAGCAGTGCTGCATTTTATGACTATCCCACAGTTCTCCTGTTAATGGGCATTTGGGTTGTTTTCTTCTCTATATTTGAACTCTGTATGTTTATTAGCAAACCTTTAGTTTGCACTAGCTTTATCATAGCCACATCACACCAGTTTGGAGTTCCTCAAAGTCCACAAATACCTTTTATATCAATTATCTATTATATTCCAACCAAATTTTCCAGTGTGTTACCTGTACCACTGGTTTTTTTAATCACTCTAATGTAAAATTTTACATTTATCCCTATTAAATATTATCTTGTTCGTTTCATAGTCTCATTGTTTTAAATCTTGATTCTGTCATCTCTGATATTAATAAGGCTTTCCAGCCTCATACAGCTTGTACCTTTGATAAATAAGCCTTCAGTGTCTTCAA